TATTCATAGCAAGGAATTACTGAATCCGCTTAAAGTAGCTGCAAAGCTTTATGAACAATACACCTCCTTAAAGTGACACGCCATATGCAACAAAAAAAAACAAAAAATAAATAAATTAAAATCAAAATTTAATAAAATTACAAAAACTTAGTAATATTGTTTACAGCAATTTTTTTATTTGGTAGAATTGCTACAACAACTACTTGGCAAAAATCGGCAACCTAATTTGCAATTGGTAACAAATAAAAAAAAAAGGGATTAACTATTCCTCTTCATTGTCAGACTAATTTTTTTTTTTCGAATCAAAAAAAAAAAATAATTACACTATAATAACACGTCCATTTTTCAAACAAATTCATCTTAAATACATTAACTGAATATTAAAAATAAAAAACGTCCCCCCACAACAACCAAACAAAAAAAAATCAAGAAATCCTTTTTGTCGTTAAATGTTAATCCTTAATGTATCCTTAAACAGTTTTTTCCCAATTTTTATGCATATATACGCATATATAAATAATATATATACATATATATACATTTATATATATATTTTTAGACTTAATTTCGCATTTAAAATTAACTTGTTGCCCCGCCCCGTACAGGACTCCCACCTATTTTGTTGCGCCTAATTCACTTCCTTCCTCGCATTGGCAACACATCATTTTTGTGTTGACATATTTTCTTTCAAAATAATTTTCCTTTTTTTTGTTTTCTTCTTTTTCTCCCGAAAAAGAAAAATGTCACATGCATGTGCTGCCATTTTGTTTTTGTTACATGTTTCATTTTTCCCACTCTCCCGGCGTTCCGTTTATGTCAACTTAATTTCCTTATTGTTGTTTTTTGTTGTTTCCACAACTAGCCTCCTGATGCGTTAATTCTTTGTTTTAAGTGCTTTTAAAGGATAACAATAAGAAGTAAACTAGATTTTAAGCATATAAGAAAATTTACAAAATGGCAAATTAACTTTTTTGACGCCATTTTTTGTTTTTTTCACGTTTATTGTGAGTGTGAGTGTGTTTATGTTTTTTTTTTTGTATAACTCAATTATATTATTATTGTCTTTTTCTTCATAATTTGGTGTGTGTAAAAATTTATTTAAATGTCGCACAAAAAACACAAAGGAATCCGTCCTTGCCGCCTAAACACATTTATAATATTATATTATTAAATAAAAAAAATCAAAAAAACAAATATGTGTAATTTTATATTCTTTTTTGCACAAAATCTTAATGTTTTATGTTTAGAAAAAACTCAAATGCGTCATAAATCATTTTTGTATTTTGTTGTGTCGCATGTGCAATAATTTTTTTCCTTTCGAATATTTAAGATTATTCTTTTAAAAATAACCGACCAAAAAAAAAAAAAAAGTATTATATAGTATATGTCCTAAATTAGTTTTTTTTACAGAACGGTTTCTTAATAAACGTTTCTCAGTGTGTGTGAATGTGTATATAACTATTTGTGTGAAATTTTTTACAGTGTATTTGCTCTAATTTTGTTGTTTTTACTCCTTTTAGAGGAGGATAAACTTTCGTTTTCGCCATTTTTGTTACAGCGAAAATTTTTTGTTGATTTAAGCGATTACGTTCTTTTTTAAATTTCTTATAAGTTGAACTTTTGTATTAAATATAAATTTTTATAATAATTTCTATATTTTAATAAATGATTTTAATAAACACAATTAAACTCGTATATATTCAAATATTGTTTTGATGTGGAAATATTTTGCTAAAATTTAAAACAAATTAGGTATATATATATATTATAAAGTTTTTACATTAATAATTAAAATAATTATTTTTAACTCATTGTTTAATTGACTTAATTTCAGTTAGATATTTTTGAACGAATTAATTATCAATTGTTTAGATAACAAAACTTTTTAAATTAAATTAATAAAAATATATTTTATATTTTATTGGTGGCAATAAAATATGTTCAAATTTATTCTTTTCTTTGTTGAAAATAAACTACTTTGTTTTATTTATATATTTGATTGTTTATTGAGAACAATTAAATATGTTTTTTAAAATTAATTAATAAAATTGTGTTATATAAATAATTAACTAACTAGCGTTTTAAAAAACATATAAATATAAATATAAATATAAATATAAATATAAATATAAATATAAATATAAATATAAATATAAATATAAATATAAATATATATCAATATAAATATTCAAAAATAATAAAGAGTCTGAAATATGTGTTTCTGTAACTATTTTTTTATAAGCAAATGGCTCTAAATCTTTATTATTATTGATTTAATATATATATATATTAAAAAAAAAGATGAAAAATAAAAGTATTTAAAATAAAATTTTAAATAAATGAACAACAAAACTATTATAAACTATTTTAAAAAAAATATGCTTATAAAATCATAACCATTACACCAAAATAAATAAATAATTGTTAACAAAAAATAAAAACCATAAAAATAAAAGAAAAACTTAAAAAATTAATAATATTTCAATTATTATTTACTTTAACTAGTTTATAAACAAAAATCAATAGTTACATATATTAAAAAATTCGGTAAATATATAAAAGATTAATAGTTAGAAAAAAAAAATTAAAAATAAAAAGAAGTTAAATATCAGTTATTACGTACTTCAAACTTTTTTTATAAACAAATATGACTCGTGAAATATCAAATAATATAGTATATAAATAAAATTTGTATAATAAGATAAATTTTACTTAACTTGTTCTCAAAATGATGATTAATATATATTAAATAAAGTGCACAATATATTTATCATAGGAAATAATAAAATTAAAATAAAGGTAAGAATAAAATTTAAATTTAAAATAATATATTACTTAAATTTTCATTCACTCTAAATGATTTATAAAACAAATTGGTAATCAAATAATATAAAAAATATTAAAAAAATTGATATCAAAAAATTAAAACATTAATAATATGATCTTTATTCAACAAAACTTATTTATAAAAAAAAATATTCACAAAATTATAAATAATGAGTATTAATTAAAGTGTATATAAATATTGATCATAGGAAATAATGGCATTAAAATGAAAGTAAAAATAAAATTCCAATATAAAATTAAATAAGACTTAAATTTTCATTCACTCTTAATAATTCATAAAAAATTAATTATCAAATAATATATATATATAAATATAAATAAATATCAAAAAATTGAAACATTAAAAAAAAAGCAAAATTAAAAATATAGAACCCTAAATAATTTCTCAATAATTGTTAACAAAAAATAAAAACATTTACACAAAACTAAAAATTAATAATAGCTTAAAAAATCATTTAATTTAATAATATTTACAAAAAAATTAATATTTCATGTTAAGTAAATTATTAATGAAACACATAAAACAATAAAGACAATAAAAAATATAAATATGAAAATAATATATAAATAATAATAGGTTCAATATTATCAATTATTGTTTAAATAAACTTATTTCACAAAAATATGTTTATAAGTTTTCGACTACTAAATAGTATATATATAATAGATTGATTGTAAGTAACAAAAAGCTTTAAATAAATATAAATAAAAAAAACTAATTTTATTTACTTCAGTTGATTTTTAAAAGAGTTACATTTATAAAATAATAAGATTATTAAAATAAAAAAAAAACATGAAATTAAATAATATCATAATTATTATTTAAATAAAAAATATATTTGAAAAATTTTGAGAGAAAATAATATATTATATAAGATATAAAAAATATTATATTATAATTAAAATAAAAGTAAAAATAGAAATTAAATTAAAAATTAAGTATTATCTCATATACTTCTTACATTAAGTAATTAAATAGAAGTTAATAATAAGAAGCAAGAATATTAGTATGAAATTAATATTATTAACTGAACATAATTGTAAAATAATGTTTATAAATGCATAAAAAAGTTTATAATAAATAGAAAATAAAATAAGAATAATAAAAAAAAAAACTAATATAAGGAATTTTATAATAAAACGTAAAACAAATAATAAACAACACATTAACAGATATTAATAAAAAGATATAAAAGTGACTGGAATTTCAAGAAAAAAAAATAATAGCAAAAAAATCTATAAAATTTTATATTATTTCCTTATAACATATAATAATAAATATTAATAAGAAAGAATCAAAAAAAAGAATAAAATTAGTTAGTATTTTCAAAAAAGAAATTAAAACAAGTTTAAAACGTTTCTGATGTTTATACTGAAAACAATTATATAAAAAATTAAAATTAGATAACTTAAGTTTAACTTAAGTCGTTACTATTCTCATTTAGTTAAAAAAAATAAAATATACATTTATAATATATATGTAATATAAATATATATATACTGCTATATATACACATTGTTTAAAAATTTTTTTGAATAATTAAATTTTTGCGTTCATTGCAAAAAGCAAAATATTTCCACAATTTATTATAAAATTTTATGAAATATTTGAACACAAAAAAAAAATTCAATTTTTTTTAGTTAACTTTTAGATTATTGTAATTGATTTATTAGTTTTTGTTGAAATTTTAAAAATCTATTTTAGTTTTTAAGTAGTTTACAACTTGCAATGAAAAATGACAAAACTGATAAATCACAAACAAAAACATGAAATTTTTGAATTTTGCATAAATTGGCACAAACAAATATTGAATTTATTATTTTAATATTTTTGATATAATATTTTATTTGAATTTTATAACAAAATTTTTTCCAAACAAAACTTTATTTATTTGTCATTTTTCATACATTAATTTAACGAATTATTAAATAGTTTAACAAACAAAATAACATAAAAACATATATATGCCTAAACACTTATATTTTTATCAAATATGTATACATATACATACATATATATATATATATATATACAAACACTCTTATAAATTTACTAATATAAATATTTTTCTAATCCAAAATCATTCAAAATCTTCTCTCAACAAAATGCCAAACACTACGAATGAAAATTTGTCGGTTTTAATTGTGCTTAGTTCGGGAATTGAAGGAAATCCTACGGTATTTTATCGGCTTATGCCAGGATCTACGGCACAAACGAACAAATTCCATACATTTTATTTGCAACAAAGACCCGACAATGGTGACACATGGGCTGACATCAAAGTCAATCATCCACTGGATTATGAAAGCATAAAGGAATATAATCTGACCATACGCGTGGAGGTAAGTAATACTTATAAAGCCTAACTGGAACGCCTTTTTAACCTAAATAAATACGTTATGCAAAATGTCAATATCATTATTATTCTTGCTTGTTTGCTATTCTCTCACCCAAAAAAAAAAAAATTACAGGAATAAAAAAAAAGGATAAAAAAATTTGCATATTAAAGTCGTTGAAAATGTGAAGATAAGAAAAAAAATATAAAAAAAAAAATAAAAATAATTTCAATAACTAAAAAAGGATAAACTGATTTTGTGCTATTGAATAAATTTATTAAAGAATTATTTAAAAAATTTTCTTAATTAAGTTTAGCGCAATTTTCTATTAGTTTCCAAAAGTTTTGTTTGACTTTCTTGATTCAAATTAAAATTCATTTTGTATGTACTTAATTTTAATTTTATTTTATTTGAAAAGTTTTAATTACTTAAATACATACAAATGAAATCGTCTACAGGACTCCTATTTGTATGCTTATGTACTATTTGTAACTTTGTATATGTGCATGTCATATCCGCATCATACCACACATATAAATACAACAACATTTACTGTTGCGAAAACTCCTTTCTATCATTCACATATGATTATGTCCTGATTAAACGGCTTTTTGCTCTCGCAAAGGGAAAAGTTGAAAATGCTGGAATAGCAGGATATGCAGGATACGCAGGAAGTGTAGAAAAAGGAGGAAAAGCTAAAGCTTGGGTAAACTGTGTTCTGCTTGGCACTTCAAAGCAGTCAAAGTATACGCCTTTCTTGCTTTAACTTAATCATGAGTTTTAATAGTCAATGAAAATTAAATAATATTACCGCACTGCAAAAATTCTATGGCACTGACTTCAGCATAAAGAAATTTGAGTACTTATACGCACTGAACCACACATCCGTAGTCGAACCTACACGAAAAGTAACAAAAATTAAATTATTTAAGTTAATTACTTAAAGTTGTATATAATTTGAATGTCATTAGGAGTAAAACTTCATTTATGCAATTAGCAAGCAAAAAATTTCTATGTCGAAATTCATACAATAGATTTTCGAGATGCATTCCAAAGTAGTATATGATCCTTGGAAATAATGATTGAAATAGAAATAGTTTTTGTTTTTAAAAGATTAAGATAATAGAATTTAAATAAAATAATAAATAACAATTTTTACAATATATAGTATTACCATTTTATCACTTTAATTCATTCATATTTTTAGTTTCAAAAAGAATTTATAAAGAGGTTTTTTTCGAACAGTAGTGAACTACAACAACAAATATTTTATTTTTTTATATGATTTTAATTAACTGAATTTTTGACTGACCATACAGCTGTTTCGAGTATTGCCAAATACCGATCATCAGTGGTCTTGGAAATAGTTCTTGTATTTAATTATTCGTAAGTAATAATTTTTGAGACTGCAAGTACCAGGAATCGAACTCGGGTCCTACCAAATGTGAAGCTCAGAATCAGCGCACCTTAACCAACTGAATTTAAAAGGAAAAAGAATTTATTTGATTTTTCTTTTAGAAAGAAATGTCGAAAATAAAATGTTTTGTTTATTCCGTGTTCAACCATAATATTATAATTATTTATTTGTAAGTTAACACTAAAATGAATTTTAAAGGAACTGAACTACTAGGTTTTTCACCCTGTATTAATACAAATTAATACACCCTGTTAAGATACAAATAAAAAAGTGTTTAATTTTTAAAAAATTAATTTGCTAATCATTTTAAAAATAATGAATTATTTAAAATGTTCTAATGAGTGACCTTATATATTTTAAGACACACATAATATAACGCTCCCACGAATTTACAATTCTCATTAATTTGAATGAATTTATTTGGTTTAAGAAAGCAAGACACATATGTAAGATTGAATATATTTTAATATTGACTGAGTAGTCCTGCATTCTATAATTGCTAAACATTTATTTGGTACAGTTTTGGTACAGATTAAATTATTAAGGAGAAAGAGTAATATAAATAAAAAAAAGTTTTCTGTTTTACGAGGTTGCTGCTATACAAAATTTATAATTCTCATCTATTTGACTGAATTCATTTCAAATTTTAATGTACTTATTTCACTACCTGGAATTTTTAAATGACTTGCGTATTTCTTCAGAGTTGTTGAAGAAGCTTATATAGTTAAAATTATTTAAAATAAAAAATTTGTTCATTTTCTGTAGTGAATCAAAAATCACATTCACACTGACCAATTTCGAAGACACATGAGTAAATATGAGTATGTTTTAATATTATTTAGTGGTGCATTCTACAAATGCTAAACATTTATTTGGAATTGGTTTACAATAGTTGCAATTATTAAATAAAAAATTGTTTATATTCATCATTATCTGCTTAAGTGTCGACAGCTAACTTTATTTTTTGCTTCCTATTTTATTTTTTTTAAATCAAAGAAGTTCCATCTATTATTATCTCTCTACCTGTATGTAATTACACATCTTAGAAATCCAGAGAGTCCACGTCCATGTTTTCACTGTTAAATGCTTTAATATTACTTTTTCCATCGATGTTGAAATACATCTATTAGTTACCGTCTTTCCTTATTGGAGTCATTGCGCACAAATATTTTTTATCCATTATTCAGTGACATGAGTTGCCTTTTAAATTGCATTAATGCACATTTTTTCTGAAGCTGCTTCTCATTCAGATCTTTATCAACGAATTTGATATACTTCATTTGATCCCATTAGTTTTCTTTTTACTTTCAAGCGCCTGTTGGGCAAATTCAGTGGTATCAAAGACCTTTCACAAAGCATATTTTATTGTTGCTTTCATACAGTAATCACTTTTTTTAACTATTATTTCGTCAAGCTCTAATGGAAATGTTGCAGTAGTTTAAAAAAAAAATAACAGCTCAAAGATAATCACTCAATTATTCGAACGTAAAGTAAGATATTTTAATTTTTTGACAGTTTTCATCCTTTGTTAGATTTATGGATTTTTATAGATTTTTGCTTACAAAATCTAGTTATAGGAATAAATAATTCAGCAGAAATTTCATAGTAATATACAATTTTTAATTAACATTAAAAATAATAATAAGTTCGCAACTGACATGTGAGTTACCGTCTATGTAAAAAGCCTCTATGTGAGAAAAAATTGGTAGTTCTGATGCTTTTCAAAATTTCTTATCACTAATTGCAAATAATAGCCATGATATGAAAATCGTGTGGTTGTATATGCCATCGGTCTATGCTTCTAATGAGGATATTCAACATCCTGCCACACAAATTTTGAAATTAGTGGTATGCATGCCATACGTTCGTCATTGCTGTTATGGGTATTTATACCTCGTGCAGGTGATAACCACAACGAGTAACCACAACGAGTAACCGCAATAGCATCCACAGTTCCACAAAACTCAATCTAAATTTTTGCGGGTGCTTATGTGGCTGTCTGTAAGCTTTTTTGTGTTAGTGGATCATTAGTATTGCAAATGTATGCAATAGTCTTATTAATTTGAAAATGCAATGATGCAAGCTCTTTTACACCATAACATAAATTCTTCTTACATATGTTTAATATTGTTGTCTGTATTCTATGACAATAGGTTCCAATGAATCCAAATAAGGACATAATTAATTATTCTCTTAATAAATTAACTCATTTTCATTTTTTAATTAACTAAATAATGAATATTATTATATAATTAAATACAATATAATAATATAGAAAGGAATCTTTTGTCAATTTTATGTGAAACTTTCACTTAAAAAAAAAAAAAATTTAAAAAAAAAATGTTGTTTAAAATTATTTATGAATGAATTTATTTGCGTTTTTAAAATAATTACTCTTGGTGTTATATTAAATGTAATTTATTTCAAAATTAAACTGAAATTTATTTAAATTTTATGTACATGCTTTATAGAATTTATAGAAATTAATTTTAAAATATAAATTAAAAAAAAACACGCCAAGTTTTTATAAAAATAAAACTTAAACTGAGCTCATTCAATTAAGTTGTATATGAAAATAAAAAACACTGAAAAAAAAAAACAAAAACATTTACTATAATTGAATTAAATTGAATATATAAATCAAAAATGCAATAAAAATAACTAAAATATAAATAAATTCTACGAAAGTCCTGTTAAACTATTTCAATTAAATAAATTTTGTAAATTTATGCAGTTTCTCTTTATCTCGTATGATATATGAAAAGAGTAAAGCAGTTAATGTTATGCTGCTAACAGAGCGCACACACACACACACACACACACACAAATGCGTGTATACAAATATTTAACATTTATTATTGTGGCATAATCAATAGAAAAATTTGTTATTTAAATTGTCAACAACTAAACACTTAACTTTTTACTAAATTGTCTTGCTCATGCCACAATTCAACCCGAAACACTGCTCGCTACCCACGTATGTGTGTATTGCGGCGGTGAGAGCACTTCGGCTGCCGCCCATTGACCGTTGAACGTGCATACGTATGTCATAGCCAAATTCACAATTATTATGTTTATAAACATATGTGTGCGATTGAGTCAGCATGCATGTGTAAGTGTGTAAGTGTGTAAGTGTATAAGTGCATAGTAGTTATTTTTGTTGTCATAGCCGTAAATATTGAAATCAAATTTTTATTTATTGTTATGTGCCATTTCGTTGCTTTTGTTGTACACTAATATGTTTTTGGTGTTGGCTATATTAGTTGTTGTTGCTGCTTGTTTGTTTGTGTATTTGTTCATTTTATTGCAGAAATATTTGTGCTTTATTCGATTATTCCATTCTTTGTGTATGTTGTGTCTGTTGTGTGTCGAGGGGACGTACTGAAAATCTAATTCGAGGGTAGACTAGTTTTCGATATTACGCGTATTCTCGTTTATTTTGTATAATGACATTTAATATGAACTTATTGTCCACAATATTATTTATGTTGAGAATGTGGAATTTGTATGTGAATGTGATATTTATTATATTCTCATGCAGAAAATGTTATGCCATTTTGTTGAACAGAAAATGAAGATAGAAACCATTGAACATGCGTACTTACAGTCATAAATTGGTTTAATTTATATAAAGAAAGCAAAAAACGACGGACAGCAAACAGAGCAATATATTTTTATTCTCAACCACATGAAATATATCACATTGCGGTCACAGATATAAATGTTAAGTATGCATTTGATTGGTTTACTGTTAGTAGATAATTGCCAAATTTATTTACATCCTATTAATGCCAATGAATAAATGAACAATAAATATGATAAGGTGTGACAAGTACGATATATGGTTAAAAGAATAAAGCATAAATGATTAAAAATAAAATGGAAATTCCTGAACTAACTATTATGTATAAGTAGTGTCCCAAAATAAAGGCAAGAAGTGCATTTCTTACCATTCGCGCGTTAAAGGGTTGCCAATCATATACAAAAAACCATTTAACAGCTTAGAGTTTTGAGTTAGTAGCAATGCAGCGCTACATAACAGAACAACATATTTTCTTTGTTCAATAATACTTCAAAAATCATAAAAGGTACTTAAAATCACCAAAGTGCTATATTAGCGCTATAAAAGTGCAACAATGAAGCAGTTTAACGCATTGCCTCTTTTGCAAATAGTGCATCTTTTTCCAATGCCATGCCATTAGCAATAAATGTTTTATTCATGCTATATGCGAATTATAGTAAATCCATTTTAATTTCGCACTCTTAATTCAATTACAAAATATGCGATTTATGTCATTTTCTAGTCTTGCTCTCGATCTGGTATTTTCTGCTCGAATTTTTTTTGGCACACTCGAATATATTTAGAGTAATCCCATTATTTGGCAGCGGCCATTTGACAGTATAAAAGGCAATGCCACTTATTTTATTAATTTTTAGCTACTTTTCTCACATTGTTTGAATTTAATTTTGAATGCTTAATTTGCAAATAAACATAATGTTTTAAATATTTAAAATGCGAAAAATGATCAGCTTACGTTATTTGCATAAGACAACTGGTAATTTGAGGGTAATTTTTTTAAACTAGAGTGAAAATGAAAACTATACTAAAAGTAAATCTCTGGTGAAAAAGTTACTCTAGATTTGCCGATCGAAAACGAGATTAATTTCAATTAAATGGGAAAAGATTAGATGATTGTAAAAGAATTTGCATTAAACAGCTGGTAATTTTAGGGTAATTTTTTTAATCTAGAGTGAAAATGAAAACTGTACTAAATGTAAAGCTTGGATGAAAAAGTTACTCTAGATTTGCCAATCGAAAACGAGAATAATTTCAATTTAATGGAAAGAGAATAATACATAAATATATTATTTTGGAGTTTTATCTGCAAGCAATACTTTGTATGGAATAATAAAGTAGTAGGAGTGGTTCCAAAAATCTTGCTCAAATCAAGTTAGGGTAAATGCTGCCTTAAGTATGTGATATTGTGCACTAAATAGTTACTTAAAATAAAAATTAACGTTAGTTTAGTAATAAATCGACACTTAAGTATGAATTGTAAAATTGATCCAAAGTTTTTTTTTAATTAAAATTTATATAAAATTTTATTAAATTTAAAATAAAAAAATGTCGCTAAATTCCACAAAATTTTCATTACAATTATACTGTTCCACTTTTCATTGATCCATTTTCCAAAAAAGAAAAAAACTAATCAATACGTCATAGAATAAATCCCGCTGCAGCATTCCATCGCATCTCAATTTAGGTTATTCACACGCATTTAAACCCTCTTAAATGCATAAGTGTACGCTCACAACTGAGCGCAAACAATCAAACAACCCGGCAAAATAATTTTCAAAGAAAAACAAAAAACAAAAAAACGAATAAAAAAAATTGGAATTGTTTGTGTACGGCGTAAATTGGAAAAATATGTCAGGCCATACTCAACACTGCGGCATTTGAAATTCCTGGGTTTTGTGGATTTTCATGTGTTTTGATGCAATTTAACGTATGCTGCATTCTATGTTTTCCATATTTGTTTATTTTCCATATATTTTTTCCAGTGTAGTTTTGCGTGACTTTGTTTAATTTTATTTATTTTTGACTACTGTTATTTCGCTGACATCGACAAATTCGGCTCTTGTGCTTATTTAAATTTTCAAAACAATTCTGTGTTTATTGTTTATTGTTTGTTAGTTTATGTACCTTAACTAAGGCCAAGAAATACTCCACAAAACAAACTGAACCAAAAGTAAGTAAATTTGACAAAAAAAAAAAAACAAAAAACCAAAAATTTAATTGAAAAAAAAATAACATTTCAGTCAAAAAAATATTGTTGTTGCAAATGTTTACTTTCCAAAAGCTCTTTTTCCGTTTCCGTGTTTGCTTTTTAGGCTTTTTTGTTTCTATTTGCTTATGTTGTTGTTGTTGTTGCTGTTGTTGTTATTGACAATTGGCAGTTTAGAAAAATTGTTTTTTGGTGAAAATTGTAAAAAATTTGTTTTGTTTTTGTTTTTGTTTTATATGTAGCAATGTTGATTAAAGAGTTACCAGCTGAAATTTTAGCCAAACAATTTTTACCCAAAAATTACACAAAACAAATGTAAAAATTTCAAAAATTTGAAGTATTTTTTTGGACATTTTTTAAAATGCCCAAAAGAATTTAGAAAAAACAGTCTAAAAAGTTTTTGAAGAGGCACTGGAACTTCGTTTGATCAGCTGTCAATATATCATTTTTATTATCTCACAACAATACCAACTGGCTTTGAGGCAAAACATAATACTGATATATATACATATTTATGTTGTTTGCATAAAAGATATATGTCCAAAAAAAATGTGTTGTTTAAAGCTAATTTATTTACAACAAAAATGTTACAAATTTTGAAATAAATGTATGCCCTTTACAAAAAAATTTATAAGTAATAAAATAAATTAATATAGCATAAAAAAATATTTATTTTTAACAGCATTTGAAAGTACAGAGTTAACTTGCCGACACAGCTGTCACTTTGGCCATTGCAAATCTGCTTGCGGTGGGTTCATTTTTCTATTTTGAAAACCATTTTTATTTTTTGCAGAATTCAGCAAATGTAACTGAAGATAGTATTCCAAAATATATAACTTAAAAAAAACTGCAGCAATAATAACTCTATTATAATTGCAACTTATTGTAACAGAGTTTGAGTTCCTTTGTCATATTATAATTACCTTTCAAGCTGAGTATAATCTAAAATTCATTATATTTTTTTTTAATTGCTCATTAAATGTTTTTGATCAATAATTTAGCATTTGTGAGTATTACGGGGTGGTATACAGATCTTAGAACAGTCGGTGAATAATCAGCGAAGCTTGTGAGAAACATATAAATTAGTTAAAAAGAAGGCAGTGAGGGACTCTGTAGAAATCTCCCAGTTAAGAAAGAGTAAAAGTGTCCAGTTACACTAACTCGGAAAAACTTCAAGATAAGATAAGTATTACCAAATACCTTTCTTAAGTGGTGTTTAGAAATAATTATGCTTATGAGTCCATATTTAATTTTGTGAACTGCAAGTGAGAGGCTGAGTACTTTGAACCTGTCCAAATTTTATTTAAATTAAGAATTTCAGTGCAGAAAAAATCCAAATTAAATTATATAAGCTCTTTCTTTCTTTTTTATCCTTTTGCTATTTCTGATAAAATTTTATAGTTACCGCATAACTAATTTAAATATTTAGCTTTTTGAGATGTGTGAAACTCATGAAGAAGATGAAGTTGTTTTGCCAGTCGATTTCCAAGACTGTAATGTCGATTTAATTAATAGCAATAAAATTTTCTCAGTCGAGTTCTGCTAAATATTTATCATAATTAATCTTTAGAAATACGATAACTCATACACCTTGAGACCTTGTATTTGAAACGAATGCTTTGTCAGAAAGGATGTGGAATTCGGTGATCAATAATGATAGTAAAATAGCGACATTACGTTCAATGACGGAGTAATGCTATAAGTTTAACAAGAATTTGAATTTCACTTTTTGGGTTTTTGGTTAAGAGTTGAAACAGTTCGGTTTGTAATGAAATTGTAGAATGCACATATGGTGCATATCATGAAGTTTTTCATTTATAAAAGCTACGTCGTTGATTTTAAAACCTAACGTCTCTTTAAGTTTTCCAATGTTCAAATTGAAATAAATTTCAAAATTATGTAATTTTTACTGTTTTTAGACTATATTCGCATTGAATATAGAGCGGTCTCTATCCGCTCAATCACTCTGTTTAAATATGACATTGTGTTAATTTCAAAATATCTAACAAAAATCATTATTTCAACTGTTTTGAAGCGTTAAACCTTTAAAGCACCAAAACAATTCAATATTTTATACATTTAAAGTCAAAAATTCAAATTATAAAAATTATAAAAATAATAAAAATAAAATAAATATTAATTAAATAATAAATTGTATGCAAAAACGGAAAAATCGGTAAGTTCCATTTTCAACACACGACAATTAATATGTAAATTAATTTAAGGAAATATGAAAGGGAGGGGAAAAGCAACAAAAATTGACTAAAATAAAAAAAATTTATTAAAATAATATTATTGCAAATGACATCATTTTACAAATACGGCTTTATGTATCTCAATTTAAACGAAATTTTAAATCCACATACATATTTTTATTAATATATAAATATCCTTTTGTGTTTCTCTATTTGTTGCATCCTTTTTTACTGCGCATTCAACACACGTAGAACAATGGCGCCCAACAATTGGCATCGGAAGCTACTGTTTATATTATGTTGGAGGATGTTAATGACGAAATACCGCTATTTACGGAACGTGAACAGGAAACAGTGTTGGAAGGTGAACCCATTGGCACGAAAGTGACACAAGTGAATGCAATCGACAAGGATGGCACATTCCCAAATAATCAGGTAAAATGCTTTTCATAATATTTTTAAATAAATTATCCAACAACAACAACAACTACCTTGAAAAAATAGGTAGTATCTATGTGTGTGAAAAGACTCTTCACAAGAACTTTGTAAATTTATATATATTGTATACATTAAGACTGAAAAGTTTTCGGAAATTCTCATTTAAAATTCGCGCGCTGTATATTTTTCGATATTTTAAGTTTATGTAGTTTGGCAGCACTGTCCTTAATTACTATGCCAAAAATGAGCTCGATCTGTCAGACAGTTCGTTTACGGCAGCTGTTGAAACCAGTTCACCTCAGTAGTGCGTTGCGAAATGTCTTCGACGGTCGTACGACCGTCCTGGAAGGCTTTGTACCACTCATAAACTTGAGTTTTCGATAAAACTGATTCCCCATAAGCCTTTTGTAGCATTCGCAACGATTCTGCACACGAAATTTCGTTCGAAACACAAAATTTGATGCAAACTCTTTGTTCAATATTTTTTTCCATTGTTTTTTTCGCAACGCCCTACTGAGGTGAACTGGTTTCAACAGCTGCCGTAAACGAACTGTCTGACAGATCGCGCTCATTTTTGGCATAGTAATTAAGGACAGTGCTGCCAAACTACATAAACTTAAAATATCGGAAAATATACAGCGCGCGAATTTTAAATGAGAATTTCCGAAAGCTTTTCGGTCACAATGTATATATGTATATATGTCTATGGATATATATGGATATGTATATATGTCTATAGGTATATGCGATTATGAGAGAGCAAAGTATCAAGTGCATTTATTTCCGTATTTAGTGCTTGTTAGTTAGTTAGTTTATGCATTGCACCTTTTATTAGTCCCGAGAGCAGTCGGTATGTTTCGCCGCCGCTTTAAAGAAATAATAGAGCGCAAGGATTTGATAAGGCAGCCAAGTGTAAGGACGTTGATAAGCTTTGTTGTATGCAAATATTTTCATCATTTGCTGCCTTTCTGATGTTGTTGTTGCTGTTACTGTCTTTTACTAAGGCTTCTCTTCTTATAGCATAAATATGGGCTTATCCTTTTATGACAATGAAAAAAAAAAAAAATTTAATTTTCATAAGCTTTGGCGTGCACACTAAATTAGAAAATAACTGTCAAAATCACTTAAGTAAAACAAAGAACAGTGAAAAGTGAAAAAATAATAATAAAAATAATAATTAAAAAGAAAAACAGACATAAAAACCTTTAAATATGCCGCCTTGTTACAAGAGCAACAATAGTATTATGTAGCAATTATTTTAGCAGAATAAAATGAAGTCTGTCTGTCTGTAAGCGCACATTTAATACTTTAAGTGAACTGCATGAAAACAGTCTGATTTGATAAATATTTTCTTGAGTTATATGTATGGTGGTTCAGATTTAATGCAGAAATACGACATAAATAATATATATCTACTTGGTACATTGATGATTTGTTAGCACACTTAAGAAGTATGTTTCTTCAGCTCAACTTGAAACTTATAGAACTTATATGTCTAATGTAGAAGAAATTTTAAAATGTAATATCTAATAATAGAACAAATTAGACTCTATACTTGTTTACATTGTGTAATGTTGAATAATTGTAAATATACGTAATAGTTGGCTTGTTATATAAATGCAGATTAAATGAATCTATCCCATAAATAAAACTTAGTTATATTATTTTTGAAGTTGAGAAAATCGATGTCTTTTGGAATATGGATTAAAACATTTGTCTCTCATGCGAAAGATTCTGTTTCTTAGAGAACTTTATATATCAAAAAAAAAACGAAACAAAATCATAGATTCAATTTCCACTGAAATTAAGTTTCGATAATTTCAAGTTAACTGTGGTTTTGTTTCTGCACTGGGTTTTATTTTATTATTATTATAAGATGATTAACTCTTAACTTTTCGTTTAGGAGCAGCGTTCATTGGTTTATTCATGAAGGGTTCTTCAAGAATTTCAATATAATTATACAAAATTTTGGTTTGTTCTTCACACATTTTGGCTTGTTCACTGTACTTTTATCTATATATATATATCTACTTACTTTTATCTATATATATATATAAAAAAGTAGCGATTTATTTTAGTAATAAAATTAAGCACTTATAATTACTTCATTTTATTGCAGTTTTTGGAACTGTCAACTAAAACTCTACTCAGGTCGGTTCGGTAAACTGTGTCCAAAATATAGTTGTATATAAAATATAAGAAAAAAACAACTGTGGCCACTGCGTACTGCTTACCGGCAGTAAAATCTGCTCAGTCCAAAAAAAATTTACGAAAATATGTAATTTCCAAAAACAAACGAAAGAAAACAAAAAAAAAAAAAGAAATAAAAATTTAAGCGTAATTATAATCCTTGAAACAAATTATGAAAATAAAAATTAAAAAAATTGGTTTATTTTTGTAATTTCTTTATTCTTTTTAATTTTTAAACGCGTAAATATGAAAAAAAAAACAAGTGCGAATTTGTTCATTAAAAAATGCCGTCCTTCACGTGCCATTTTTTCGTCTTTATTTTTTCCTCTTCACTTTTGTTTTTCCTTCTCTTTATCATATTTTTTGTTGCTTTCATAATTGTTACTTTTCTACTGTTACTTTTCTACTGTTACTTTTCTACTGTTACTTTTCTAGTAGTACAGCGCCAGTATTACCATCCCGCCCTGCTCTTTAGCTTTGTCAGTTTATAAGTAGCTCCCCTGTTCACAAAATTATCCTGCGTACTATAAGCTTTATAGAGTTGCGTTTTTCATACTTTCTACTTTTTTTTCATTTCTTCATTGGTAATAAATGTCAAAAATTATTACGCCTCTTAACAAAGTTTAGAAAGGTTTCCCGGGTTTTTTACTTTCCGCCAGAGCTGCTGGTCATTTATTCACTTTACATTTTTTTAATTTTTTAATTTTATAATTTTTTATTTTCTAATTTTTGCTTTTATTAACGTTCTGCTAACATTTTTCTAATGCCACCAAGCATATTGCAGGAAGCGAATATATCTACGACACACATACGTTTACCGACTCACATACTCGCATAAAGATATTCCCATGGAAAAGCTGTGAAAAAACGAGCTGTGTAAAACGAGCCAAATGAACTCTTAGCGTAGCGAGATATTTTAGAAATTCTCTGAAAACACTGCAAAAGTAATTTTCGATATTGAAAAATGTCTGCACTAATTAGCGTTTTCATTCATTTTCGTTAAAGGTTGCTAGTTACTGGCTCTTATATACGAGTATGGCACACATTTGCATTACTGATTCTCACAAAGGATAATAAATTTAAATCTTTGCACATTTATTCTCTGTTCTTTGTTAATTCGTTCATCGTCAATGGAATCCTGTGCCAAAGGTCAAACAGAACGACAGTTCTCTGTTACATATTTAAATTTTCCTTTTTGACTTTTCCTACTTCCTTCACCTCATATCTCCACGTCCTCTTATCTCTTGGAAAATTAAAAGAAATTATACAAAAAAGTTTTAAGTTTCATTCTTATCGACTTTGTTTTTAGAATCACTCTCAAATATGTATAAAATTAACTAACTCACATAGTTCTCCGTTACAGGCAATAGTAATCTGCGTTAGTCAGCCAGTGCAGAACAGTGGTTTACTATCATCAGTTAATAGCACCGAGTGCCTTTATATCCATGGACACTTAGTTCTTTCACTGAGGCTACGTATGCTCTTTATCGTGTAGTCCGCCAGCGTGTGCCATATCAAACATGTACACCTATCCACTAAGAATATTTTCACCCATTCATATGATATGACAAAGCCATCAACGTCGTTGAGTTTTTATGCTTTCAACCATCAACCAATGTAGTGACATAGCTCAACATATGTGTATCTAATTAAGCGTACTTTATTACTTTATTTAATTAAATATAATTATTGTGGGATGATATAGATGATATTCGAATGAAATATTGTAACTTACGTTCATGTTTGAAGTTATAAATTCTGGATGCTATTAATAGAGAATTTATAAATACATTCGTTCCATTTTAAGAAACCTTTTTTCCAAATCTTGGGAAAACCTATATAACCTATAAAAAAAAGGATATAGTCTTTAGAGACAAGATTTTTGACGTATGTACTTTATATTATAAATTTCAGATACTTTTTACAAAGAATGTAGACTTGTTTATTGTTCAAAAATCTTTATTCAGCGAAAGGTTCAAGGTTTAAGATTTATTTTTAATCACGTATTAGTAAATTTAAAAATCTTAGTGGTAAATTTTTTAAACCTTCAGCAATTAAAGTCATAATGTTGAGTTAACCATGGTTTATCAAAAGTCGAACTTAACTTTAATAGATCATCTCTTCTAGTTATACTTCTAAAATATTATATGTTTAATCTTAAAATTTGATTCTATTTCTTCTTGATTATTGTAGAGTCTTTATTAAACAAATTATCAGTTTTATTTAAGCATAAATGATAAATATTTTTGTATCATAGAGATACATTCTTAATTTATTTTCAGACAATACTTGAGATATTAGGCGTAAGAACTGTTCGGAACATTTTCTTTGTTCCAACCATTCAAATTTTTTTTGTTTTATTTACAGCTTCAAATTGTTAAGAAGAGGAAAAAAAAATCAAAATTAAATTTAAGTTTAAATAATTTCTTATTTAAGTAACATTTTTTAGTTACTTAAAAGTAGTTTTTTTTAGTTAGTTTTCAGTTTAGTTAAAATTTGAATCGTATGTATTAAAATCATATTAAAAGAAAAACAGAGCTAAAAACTTAAATTAGCTCAAAAAATTGAATATTTGTATTATATATTAACATATTGTTATATGTTAAATAAAGTAACTTTGAGACCTTTACAGACCTTCCAGCGATTACCACATTCCTTGCAAATGGCAAACGTTGACGAACGCTGCATACGCATTGGCAGTTTCTCTTCTTGCATTTGCCACACTGCAGTAGGTCAGTAGTAGTGTCTTGTACAGTTGGAAGCTGGACTTCGGTTATAGCTTCCTTGAAAAACTTCTCACGTAGTTTCATTATCTCAGTTTTTGCCATTTTCGCAGGTGTCATTGTAGCAAGCTTTTGTACAGTTAACGCACCACACATGAAATTTACACTTAGTGTTGGATCCTTAAGATCCTCCAAATTTACTATGCGTGAATATATACTAGATTTATATTTTGTATTGATCTTTCGGAACTCACTATAATTAGCATCTTCCAACTCCGTTGCCATTTCTTCAGGATCTGGATAGCCTTCAGCTATAACACCACCCGTCTTAAGGGCATTACAAAGCATGTGACGACACTTAATGCGTACAGCATCCACTATACCAGATGCTGACGGTGGAAAACTAAGAGTTATTGGTGCTTTGCGTTCAGCATTTTGCTTTTTATTTTCTTCTCGCTTTTTCTTTTTAGAAGACATTAAAATATATTTAATGCTTATTATTAACATATGTTTTTTGTTGTGTTAATTAATTAATTAATTAATTTAAATAGAAGAAAAAAATTAATATTGGAAGAGCAATGATTAGCATTTTTAACTAAATTAATTTAAATATATCATAATTATGTAAATAAGGGATGGTAATCTGTAAAAAAATATATCAATGATTTTAACTCTCTTATACTGAAGATGTAGGGTTATTCGTAGTTGTGAGGACGTGGCAATGATTTCAACTAATTTTTACCTTAAATATAACACCAATAGCCATTTTTTTAGGTTGGCTATTCACTCTTTTTTAAAGATGTAGTTGTGGATAAATATAGTTCCGGCTTACAAAATTAAATGGCTGATTTTTAACAAAACTGTTAGACTCATTGTCATTGATTCGGGTCTAAGCAGGTATTTAATGAAGCACTACTATGTTTTTGTTATACGACATAGCAATTGGGAAAACCTACGATTAGGCAAATAATTAAGATATATACTAGATGCTTGATGCTATGATGTGTAATAGCCCATTACTATGTGTAGAAGTGTATTTCGAAGAGCAGAATGCATTGATTGCTACTTGACTCTCTGCACAAGTGTAAATATAAAGTGAAAGTTAAACGTTTGGTAAGGTTGACTTAATGACGTGAACCTATATATGGTAAACACCTAAAACTTAAAGAAAAGTTTTGAATTTGCAATTAACAGAAATTGTTTTGTTGTTTTATATTCTACTTGCATTTCAAACAACTTAAAAAGTTCTTTAAAAAATTATTTAAGTATCGTTAGGTCTTTAAGTTGAACTAAAGTAAAATAACAATAATCAAATAAGTGCTGCCAAAAAGTTTTTTATTTAAATTTAGTCGTCAGTTTGAAATAAAAAAAAAAATATTTTTAATATTATTTCTCTAATAGCAGTTATTCCTTGTCTTCTTTTTGAACTGAACAGTGCAATTCTTCTCAGCTTCATCCAAAGTTAATTAAAACTAAAATTTTAAAAGTACTTTTTTACATTTTTCCTTTATTTTTGAAAGTTTTTTTTTTTGAATTTTTTTATATATATTTTCTACAAAATTTCTTGAAGGTTTCTCTTTTTTGGACTCTACACTTTGCACACCTGCCTTATCTTAATTTTTTTTATAATTTTTTATTTTCGTTTGAATTTTGCTTATCATAAAATTCGTTTATCTATAAAATCCTTTATTTTATATCATTTTTTTTACACCTTCGCATTAATGTCAAGCAGCATTAAAAAGCTTTTTAATTGAAAATTTTCTTTTTATTTTTTTATTTTTTTTTTCCTTTAAGCAGATTTAATGTTTAATTTATTTAGTTTTTATTTCATGTATTTGCATATTTTATTTAATTTTTTTTACATTTTTTACGCATTTTTTCTATCAAACTATCGTTCATTCTCTATAACCATTTTTGTTTTGTTGTTGTTTTGTTATTTTTTCTTTTTTTTTTTTTTGGTTGCATAATGTGCTGGTGTCCTTTTTGTCCTGTACAACTTTAATCTTACTAATCATTTATTCAAAATAGTTCAAAACTTTGTACAAATATTTTATGTAAAATTTATTTCACTGAAAATTGAAATGAAAAATTTTACAATTTTTTGTTTAAAATTAAAACGAAAGTTTATTTTATAAAATAACTTTGCAAAATCATCCAACCGACCAACCGAGCAACCGACCAACCGACCAACCAACGAGCTAACTAAACCCATCCAAGTAGGACTAACTAAGGCTGCTGTGCTGTGTGGAAGCATTAAAACGTCAAATTGCACTCTTGCAGCAAATGTTGAAAGTGCATAGAGGCACGCACATGCTGCATATTTCAATACAGCTATTTTAGCATTTCTAATTTTTAATTCCATAGCTTTCGTTTCTAAAGCATCTCACTGTGTGTATTTCTTCTTAGATTTTCTCAATGGTTACACTTTTGTCAGCGTATAAATACTTTATAAATTTTTACACATATATATATACAGTTATATGTATATATACATATATATATATATATATATATATGTATATATGTATATAGGCTTATAATGTATCTTCTGTTATATACATTCATATACGTTTGCTCTTCTTCCAGGTCTATTATTACATCGTTGATTCGCCACGCAATGAAGGCAAAGAATTCTTTGAAATCAATTTGCAAAGTGGTGAAATCTTCACGAAAACCGTTTTTGACAGAGAGAAGAAAGGCGCTTACGCGTTGGAGGTGGAAGCACGTGATGGTGCACCGTCAGCACGGCCCAACAGTAATGGACAACCGAATTCAGGTTAGTTGAAATTGTTGTTTTATATTACTTTGTTTGTATCTGCAGTTTAAAGTAAAATCTTATCAAAAAGGGAAACAGCACGAAACGTTGTATTCCAAAGAAAGAATTATTTAAAAATTATTTTAAAAATTTGAAGTTAAAACCAAAGTATAAAAATTTTATGCTTTAAATGAAATACGAAATACCAGCAAAAAATAGTTTCATCATAGTCCTATAATTAAGAGCAGAGAACGCATAGTTTCCGAAAGAAAACTTTAATGTTGCAATGCAGAATGCAGTTGAAAATAGTAGTAGAGAAACTGCTATACAATATATGAAATACTTTTACTTAACAAATATGTAGTAAATATTTAGAATATATTTTAACTTTGCGTATATAACTTACAACAACCTTTAAGGCATAACATAAACATTTCCCATACATAACATAATATGCACGGAAAGACTGTCGGTGAAGTTTATTATTGTTTTTTCCAACACATTTCTATTAGTGAAATATTGCAAAATATTTTTAATACCATTTGAAATAAAACAAAATTAAAAAAAAAAATATTGCTTTAAAAATTTAAAAAATTTACGCCACTTTTTCCTTGCTAATTAATTACAACCCTGGGTTGTTTTTTTTTTGCGCCCACTTAGCGAAACCCACGTACCGTGTGCGAGTATCTGTGGTTTTGTAATGTATGCGCGTATTTTTTTAATTACGAAAGAATGTAGAATGTTTACATTAAAAGTACGCAAATTACAAAACCACGACAAACTACGGTACGAGCAGATAGCGGAACTTCAATTACATTTGCAAACATTTAGTTGACATTGAAAATTCCAAACTGCAGCAATGCGGGCTACAAAATTGCAATTTATTCTTTGCTTTGCTACTTAACCGCGAAAACATTAGTAAAAATACGTACTTTTAAATGTCATCTGGCAGGGCAGGTGTCTTTAATGTTTGTGATTGGGACTTCATATCAAGTGTCACAATTTTTTAAAGGGTTTTCTCTTTTTTAGTTTTTATCTAAGCTCATAGATATCCAAGGTAAACCACAACCTCTTATTTACAGTGAATACTTAATTTCTGGTTAAATTCTGTTGCTGATTGATATCAAATTTATTTTCAACACGCTCTTCATTTTTTTACATCCACATTTCTTCTTCATATTAAATACTTGTACACATGACATCGTATATCCGCATGAATGACATGCTAAGAGACCTTAGAATGGATCCGGTCAAAAAATATATAAGGGACAGAGCCCTGAACCGTAGATGCGAAAACCGACAGGCTGCCCTACTTAGCACTATCTAATCTCAGAGTAATCACTAACTGGACGGGGCGGTAGGCAGATCTTAGATCAGTCATTGAATAATCACGAAGCTTATGATGAACACACAAATTAGTCAATGAGATCGGTTGGACTCTGCAGAAACCCCTCAGCTATCATAGAGTAAAAGTGCCCAGATGCACTAATTCGGAAAAGGCTCAAAATTAGACATTAGATACATGACGATATTCATAACATCATATGGAGATGCAATCTTGTATATAATGGTCTTGTTTGACACTAGAAGAAGTTTATTGTGTTTATTTTATTGCAATTCAATTCAATAAATGAGCAGCGGTAAGTGTCACTTTAAGACTTAAATACTCGAAAATGTCATAAAAATGAATCCTAAAACTAATGTTCGACCATAGTTGAGCTTTTGTACTACTCAGACACTAACCGAAAAAAAGGCATTATGCCTCCTAATGTCAGATTGGGAAAGTAATTCTTGACCCAGTGAAGAATCAGATCCTGGCTCAGATCAAAACTGGACAGTCACAGAGAATGTCTCGTCTCGTCTGCTTCTAAGCAGAGTCGACAATCTATCTCTTTAGATAGACCCATTTTGTTGAGGTGTTAACGTAGTCCGTGGTGGTCCGTTGAATATTCCACCAACAAACTCAATTCCGTTCTATTAAAGAAGGACACATTTCTGTAATTGTAAGGACGAACCAGCTCTTAAGCCCGACGGTTACCTGGTATGTCGCGCCAGTTGCGCCTTTCTTCGGTTAAAAACCATTTTTAAATCGATATTATGCCAATTAAATTTTCTAAAGATGAAAATCTAGGATTTGTTAGCCTATTTATTGGTTTATATACGAAGATTGCTGATACTAATTGCTTTGACGTCATTATGATTTTCTACTTGTTGTAGGTATATGTGCCGCAATTTACATGCTGGGATATATTTTAGTCTCATCAATGTGATAAGAGTAATTGAGTTATGTGATACTATCGGGTAGATGCTCATCAGATGAGCCATACTTAATTGAAAAGTTGGTCTTTTGTCCATAGTATGTATTTAGAACTTCATTGAATGTTTGGTATCATGTCAGCAGATCACTATAAATATTAAAATTCAGGGCATGTTAGGCTGTTTCTCGATTTTTGTCGGTAATATTACTTGGGCGCAGACATTAATTATATTAATTGATAGAATTATGATTTTTTTACATATGTGCGTTCCAATTCATATTCTAGGATGTACATTGCTTTCATCAATGTAATTGCATTGATTGCTTCTGCTACTGATACTGATACTGATACTGTTTAGTAGACGCTCAATACATGAAGCAGATTTAAATTATTATTGTTATGTTAATCCCCTTAAGGTATCTTAGGAATGGATCCAAACAAAACCAATATCAGTAGAACGGTATGGTTAGGGTTTGTGAAGTTCTAGAAGTTCGTGTGCTATTCAATAAATATTTAGAGATTTTAACGAATGGATCGTGAAATCAACGTTAATTATTTCATCAGTACACCATTGCAAGTATGAAACTAACATATAAGATCTGTCAATCTATTTCTCCCATGATATAACAAGATCGGTGTACAACTGTGCAGTAGTAAGTGTCAAGTAGGAAATTCAATCTTCTAAATATTAATCTTTATTATCAATCCTTATTGTCCGATGTTGATGAAACCAACAAACAGCTAGATTACTGGGCCTTAACCTCTACAATTTATTGTGTTGTTCGACAATTTCTGTTTTGAAATAGATTAACACTTATAAATTGATACTAACATACAGAGTTGAGATACTGTTCACAACTTCTTTTACGCTCGGAAGTATAATCAGTATTCTTGGAATTTCCTTCTGGAACTCGGCCTATTTATTGTCGGGATCTCTACTTACAACTGCAGTCATCTGTGGGGGTTTTTCTTTTCTTCTTTTCCATCTACATATCAAAACTTATAAAGAGTTGAATCAATAGAGTGTTTAGCATAATTTCATAACTTTTTGAAACATTAAATTTTATTAAAAAACACAATACAAAAATATATAAATTAGAATTCAAAAATTTATTTATGCAACAATATTTTCAAAGCACTCCTAGCAAACGAAAATTTGCATATAAATTTATATATATACCATATGTATACCTATATGCATGTTAATACAGACACAGTTTTGTCAACATATGGAATAGCAGTATAAGCGGATGTATCTAAAATATGTGTAATGCACATATCTAGATACACAGAAAACAGCTTTAAGTGCAGCACTATTTGTGCACTAATAGTAGCCACCAGATGGAGAGTTATCAAAGTCACAATAAAAAAAACACAAAATTCAATAAAAAAATTTGTTATATTGATCAGGAGAATGCATACTTGCACTATGGATGAGAGCAGGGATTGAATGACGATTGTATGAGGAATGGTGCATCCATGACACGCGTCATGTTTGTGCAACATGTTGACATGTAAACTGACTCTTATGCGCGCAGTCACTCAAATACTTAAGCGCTGCTGTTTGGAAAATGGTTGGATGTCACAACTCAAAAGGAATGCAAAGGTAACCATGAGTAGAGTTGGGTTATCTAGCATTCTAGCATAGCTACTGAATCGGTCAAAGGCTGCGAAGTGAAATAAAAAAAATTTAAGTGAAAATGTGAAAAAATAAATAAAATCAGTCAGTAAATAGTGTTTTCTGTTTCGATTGCGAAATTTACAGAGTTGCATTTTGTCAAACTGTGTGCTGGTTGCCTTCTATGTCACGCATGTAGTATGTGGTATCGCGTGTTTGACCAGGACTGATATAAATTGTAGGCGTGACCAGTTCGCTTAATGGAAGGAACATTTCGCATTACACACGTCCTTGCAGATTTTACTTCGACATATTGATATTTACAAGCTACACACGTGCACTTCTCAATATTTAACAAAATCAACAATTTCCAAATGAACGTTATTTACATTTTGGCCAAAATGATTTGAACCGAGATGGTTTTGGCATTTTTTGCCAGTGTTGGTGGCTAGTATCGGCAGGTATGCTAGCGTCAGTTTACATTCACATACATTTTCTGCAATTTTATGCTTGCTTGCATCTGCAAGAGTAATGTATCTAGTGTTTTTGGATTTTTGAATGCTGATGAAACTACTGATGAGTTTCATATTAATGCGGTTAGTATCACTTGAAAGTAGGCGGAGGGTTTACTTACATGAATTCATATATTTTAAAATTTTTAAAAAGGTTTTCTGATCATAGTTGCCACCAATAAGGCAACTAATTACTGAGTTTTGGGACTATGAATTAGAGTACGGACTCCCATTCAACAGATTAAACATTCTGATGTTGCAAAAATTTAAAAAATATTTACAGTTCATTATTTCTTTTCTATGACAATTCACTCCAAACCTGACTGTTTTCACGATTTGCCGCCATTTGGTTTGGTTTGATATTAGCAGTTATCTTATTAATGGCCAACTTTAATCTCTAACCTTTACGAACTGTTTTTATATGGTTCGGTTTGATATTAGGAGATCTAACGCATTCGTCAACATTGACTTCATGTCTTATTTTTGGTCCACTTCTATCTCTAGCCTTTACGATCTGTCTTTATATGGTTTGGTTTGATATTAGCTGTTATCTTATTAATGGCCAACTTTGATCTCTAACCTTTACGATCTGTCTTTATATGGTTCGGTTTGATATTAGGAGATCTAACGTATTCGTCAACATTGACTTCATGTCTTATTTTTGGTCCACTTCGATCTCTAGTCTTTGCGATCTGTCTTTAT